GGGGGCGATACATGTAATCGCCTTAATTTTTACCATTTTTTGAGGACTTTTTAAACTGGGAAGGAATAACTGAATCTTTTTGAATTTTTTTATGGTTATTTATTATATATTAAAATACACAAAAACATTTTTTTTTTATTTTTTTTTTTTTAAATGGCTGCCGTAAAAATAGATCTGCCAAGACCCTCTCGGAAAACGCCATCAATCTGCGGGCGTTCTCACTTTTCGTACGGTGATCTGAATTCAAAAAAATTAGTTTGTACGTATTCATAAAACATATATCTTCTAGTTAAACCAAAAAAAATTTAAAAAAGTCACAAAATCGTAAATTGGCAGACCTCAGAAAAAAAAAGTTCGATTTTTCACCATTTTTTCACTGTTTTTTTTGGTAAAAAGGTTAATTTTTGAAATTTTTTTTGGAATGTTTGAGGTTTAACTAGAAGCTATTACTGTAAAGTAGATGTGTGCAAAATTTCATTGGAATCGGTTGAGAACTTTTTGAGTTATCACGCCCGCAGTATTCAAAAATGTCGTTTTGAGAAAAACGCGTTTAAAGTTTTGACACAGAAACAGATAAGAGTACAATAGCACTCGAGCGTCGAGTTGAGGCGTGGCACTTAAATGAGTTTTTAATGTATAAATAATGATAATTTTGTTTTGAATTTTTGCAGGCATATTTTTGAGATGTTATTGTAACGATTTATGAAAAAAAAAAAAAATCGTTTTTTTTTTCTTGTTACATGTATCGCCCCCCTTGGGGGTCTCGACTAGAATGTCTAGTCGAGACATGAAATTTATGTGATTTTTATAAGGATGTAAAGAGGCAAACAATGTGAAAAATATGGACAAAATGGTTTATATGGTCGAAATGTCACAGTGGCCTTATTTAAAAATTGGCTAGCGTTATTAACGTTTCCGCAACTGTATAACATGAAAAAAGCCATAATAACAATTTTGACAGAAGTTGAGCGATATTGTCATAATTTTATTAAAGTAATCAGTTTAAATGCATTTCGCACCCCGAAAAGTTTATTTTAAAGGTGATTTTCTCATGTTTGTCAATTTGAGGACCTGTTTATTCACATTTGTACTTATTTAAATTAAAATCAAAAAAATTATGTAAGTACTAGTGATTTCAATTAATTTTATTGCATTCAGGTTTTTGATAGAATTTTGATTAATTATTAATTTTTGTTTAACCTCGACACTAGATGGCTTTAAATACAACAATTAAATCTTGAACGAAATAAAAAACGACTTTGCTCTTTTAAATCTTGCTTAATATTTTTCTTAGAACACTTTATGTAATCCCGATTTATTAAGATTTTTATTGACATTATTTTGTTCATTACATGATTTTTGTTAAAATGTATATTTTAGGAGATATTTGCAAAAAAACGAAGAAAAACGCCAAAGATAGATGAATCTTTAGTGGCCAGTAACTTGAGAAGTATCAGTTTTTTTGAAAAACTATAAGAGATATTTTTTTCTTATAATTAGTTATTCTATCGATTTCCGACGTTATTTTGAAAAAAATGTAATTACACAATTGGGAAGGGGTGTCATCCCCCCGGGGGGTGATGGCGCAACCCGAATTGTTTTCACTTTTAAACTTGAGGGTAAGATGAACCTAATTCCAAAATTTCATTCAATTCGGAGCACAGTAAAAAAATTCAGACTTAAAACGCTCCGTTTACTGCACTAATAGTACCTAGTACTATTTCGCAAGCATTACATGGTCAAGAAAAAAACTCTTCTGACTTTCTACCTTAAGTATGCAAAAAATAATTGCTAAAACCAGACTAAAAAATCCAACGGTAAAAAAGGACTTGCATTTGCTGCAAAACCTTCTTTTTCCCTCCTGAGCCCGGCGAAAGTTGGTTACGATGTTTGACTTGTACCCTTTGGGGTTTCATCACATGTTTACAGAAAATCGTTTGTCATTTTTTCTGTACTATATGGACAAAATAAACTTGCAATAAGTTGCAAGGTTGCATTTTTTCTTAATAATTTTTAACTTCCCGTAGGGCAAGTTATAGTAATCGCAAAAAAATCGAAATCGAAAATTTTTATATATCTTTACGTTTCAGAGATTTCTGAATATTTTGGCATATCTTAGAAAAAATGGATGTATGTGTGTGTGTATGTGTGTGTGTTTGTACGTGTATGTATGTATGTGCGGATACAAATTTTCGTCGACGATTTCGGGAACACCGATCAACCGATTTGAATAATTCAAAAAACATTCGATTCGTATTGATAAGTTTTGATTTTGTTATTTGTTAATCGTTTTTGAAAAAATAATAATTTTTGGTATGGGAAGTTCCAGCAATTTGCGTTAAGGAACGATGCCATGCGCCCCACTAGTTTTATTATAGTTTGTGCTTAATTAAAATACTACCTTACCGGTAGTTAAGTAACCAAAGATGAGTGAAAACGATTGGACTGGTTATCATTGAATAAATAAATATAATTAAAAAACAATAACACCATGTCATTTTGTTCGTATTTCCTTTATAGCAAAAATTCATTCTTTTATAAGTTATTAATCAATGTAGAACACAGTAAAAAAAATTAAAATCAAAGACAGTGATTCATGATTTTAGCCCTCTAAATAATTAATCAAGAATAATAACTACTGATAAATTAATTATCTTTTTCACAAAATAACTATAGTCTGAAAGTATTTTATTATATTCTAGAAATTATAAAAATAGTAATAATGAGGAAATTGGGGATGACATTTTCGAGAAAAACGCGATTAAAGTTTTGCGGAGGAAGGAACCAGTGGAGATATTTTGTGATCAAAATCTTCTCGTACAACATTCTTGAAAAGTTAAACTTTGAAAATATAAAAAAAAACGATTTCTCAAAACAGTTAGGCTAGAAATCACCCTTAACCAATTTTAATAATAATTGATATACTCTTTGGTTGAGTAAAAATACAGTAAGAATACGATTTGAAATTACGATTGTAGTTTATGCATTATTTAGCGAGAAATTATTTTTTTAATGTTATTTCTAGAAGTAAGGCAAGTAATATTAATAAGTATAATTTTGAAATCATCTACAAACAAATATACAATATTTGATTTAATTTTTAACAGCTAGAATATTAACACGTTAACGCTATGTCGGTCATATGTGTGTGACACTTAAAAGTTTTGTAGGAGTCGTGGCAGACATATATGTCTGAGACAGTATAGAACTTTTTAGCGTCTGATACATATGGGTGACATAGCGTTAATGTTAATGTGTTAATATTTTCGCTGTTCAGAATTAAATCAGACAGTCTGACATACGCGACCATAACACGAGAAAAAAGTTTTAATATAGGATCATGTCTGTCACATATGTGTGACATAAAAAATAGTGTTTTTCCAGGAATTTTGGCAAAAAGAAAATTTTCTTTGGTACGTCAAGTTTGACATTTTTAACTATTTTAACTAACTAGTGGGGTGCATGGCATCATGCCTTAAGGCAAGTTGCTGGAACTTTCCGTACCGTAATTAAAAATTTTAATACGAAACCCAAAAAAAAAATTACACAAAATGTGTACACATTATTAAAATCTTAAAAAATATCTGATAATTTGATGTACATATATATTTTTGACCGCCAAATGACATTTTTTTAACTTATTTTCATTGAGAGTCCATAACCGCTGGACCTGCCTTTCCAAAAATTTAATCAGTTCTTCATCTTGTCAATACAAGTAAAATGTTTTTTTAAACTTCCCGTAGGGTAAGTTATTATAATGGGCCGAAAATCGAAATTGAAAATTTTTACATTTCTCGACGTTTTGAAGGTTTCTGAACATTTTGGCATACTTCAGAAAAAATGGATGTGCTGTGTGTGTGTATGTATGTATGGTCCACGTTTTCGGGCGCACGGATCAACCGATTTGAATGGTTCAAAAAACATTCGATTTCTATTGATAGGGATATGTGCTGATTAGTTTTTGGCAAAGGCAGGTCCAGCTGTTACGGAGATGCGGAGCAAAGAGTGCATAAAATAGAAATCGAGTTTTTGAGTGAACGGAGCATCCGATTTGAATGATCTAAAGAACATTCAATTAGTAATGATTGGGAGTAGTGATTATTAGTTTTTGGCAAAGGCAAGTCCAGCGGTTTCGGAGATACATAGCTAAATGTGCAAAAAATGGCAGTTTTTAAGAGAACTAAGCGTCCGATTTGAATGATTCAAAGAACTTTCAGCTTGTTTTAACAAAATAATTGACGTGGAAAAAAAATTTGTATGATTTTTTTTTTAGTTTTTAGTTGATTTGTATATCGAAAATAATTCAGATTTTATTTTTAATTCTGACTATAGTTTTAATATACTTTAAACAAATAATTTCAACTTTGCAGTTCAGTTTATATAATTCTTACGAATATTAGACAATGTTACAATATTTATAATAATCTATTTGAAAACATTCAGTATTCTTCGAACATTTTGTTACGGTACGGGAAGTTCCAGCAATTTGCCTTAAGGCACGATGCCATACACCCCACTAGTTAATTATTAATCGTAATCGTAAATCTTAAAAGATGTTTTTGGCACCTTTTGGCCCGTATCTTTGGAACGGCTAGACCTGCCTTTGCCAAAAACTAATCAGGATGTCTCCTTATCAATACGAATCGAATGTTTTTTGAATTATTCAAATCGGTTGATCGGTGATCCCAAAATCGTCGACGAAAATTTGTATCTGCACACACACACGCACACACACACACATATACATCCATTTTTCTAAAGTATGCCAAAATATTCAGAAACCTTTGAAACGTAAAGATTTTCATTTTCGATGTTTTTGCGATTACTATAACTTACCCTACGGGAAGTTAATAAGTTACCATGGCCTATGTGATTTTTTTCTGATATTGATGTGTTAAAGAATAAACTTAAATGATAATATACTTAAATAATAAAGCATAAACTTATTTTTCAGTTCGAACTGGAAGTCCTTATTTGTTATGCTCCGCGTTACCCACGCATTGGCGCAGCAACAAAACGCTCCCGGGCGCCTTCAAAGTGATCGCCCTCGGACCAGTCAACGACGGGACTGTCGTCACCGTCCGGGCGGGAAACGATGAAAACTGCTGCGCGGAGCTGCGGAACGCCTCCGCTGTAATGAAGAATAAAGTTGCCAAATTTAATGATCTCAGATTTGTCGGACGCAGCGGTAGAGGTTTGTGAAACAAAATTGTTGTTTTTAACCTGTAGTATATAAGACTTGTATGTCGCACTACAAGCCCATAATATGTGTGTTCATACCCATGTTTGTTGCTCAAAATCGAAATATGTGGTTCCAGTAGAAGTGGCTTTTACTGGCATTACCTGAATGAATTAAAAATGAAGATTATTAGACATCAGCAATCTTTCAAGTCTATATGATGAAGCGCGGTTATACTGTACTTGACCCACACGCTTTCTAGATTATAGCCACAATCGCGTCAGATATTTCGGTGATATTAGTTGGGCATGGGAATTTATAACAACTTTTTCAAATAACTTTAAATACTGTAAATTTATAAGTGCTTATTGAATTGCGCGACGATTTTTTTTCAATTTTTAAATTTTCCAATTTTTTGGATTTTTGAAAATAAACGATTTTTTTGAATTCTTTTATGAAAACTTTGGTATTTCGGAAAATTTCGCAATATTCTGAAATTTATGAAAAAAAATCGATTTTTTTATAAAATTGATTTAAAAAAAATCAAAACGTGGAACTTCGAAAATTTGATTTTTGTTTGAAATTTTTAGTTTTTTTTTTTTTGAAAATTTAATTTGTTTTTTTTTTCAATTTGAAAATTAAAATTAAAAATTTATTTTGAAAAAGCATTTCTTCACACCATTTCTTGAATCATTTTAATCGTATAATCCGATCTGTCAAAAACTACTTGATTATTTTTTATACTGGTTGCGCTCTGTACCTCCAAAACGGCTAGGCGTTCTTTTACTAAAATTAACCTGTACGTCTCACGACCAGTACGAATCGAATTGTGAGATATGAAAACAAAATTCGTACTTATCGTTAAATTTCCTATAAAATGTATGATAACAAATGTCGTTTTTTGTTTTTTTTTCTGAATCTTTGAAATCGCTCGAATTATTCAAATCGGCCGCTCCGTTCTCTGCTCAAATACTAAATTCTTGGTACTTTTTGCTCTGTATCTTCTAAATGGCTAGACTTGCCTTTGCCAAAAAATCATCATCATAATCATCAAGCCTCCCTATCATACTAATCGACTGTTTTTTAACTTCTCGTAGGGTAAGTTATTGTAATCGTCCAAAAATCGAAATTGAAAATTTTTACATTTTTCCACGTTTTGAAGGTTTCTGAAAATTTTGGCATACCTCAGAAAAAATGGAAGTGTGTGTGTATGTGTATGTGTATGTACATATGGATACAATATTTCGTCCAGGTTTTCGGGCGCATGAATCAAACAAATTGAATGGTTCAAAAAACCTTCGATTTCTATTGATAGGGAGATGTACTGATTAGTTTTTGGCAGAGGCAGGTCCAGCCATTTCGGAGATACGGAACAAAGAGTGCAGAAAATAGAAATCGAGTTTTTGAGAGATCAAAGCGTCCGATTTGGATGATCCAATAAACATTCAATTCGTAATGACGAAGAAAAGTGATTAGTTTATATAGTCAGGTCCAGCAGTTTCGGAGATACAGAGCTAAATGTGCAAAAAATTGCAGTTTTTGAGTGGACTAAGCGTCTGATTTGAATGATTCAAAAAACTTTCTGCTTGTTATAACAAAATAATTGCTTTTGAAAAAAAAATGTTACATTTTTTTTTCAATTTTTTTTTTCAAAAAAAAATTTTTTTTTTGTATATCGAGCATAATTCAGATTTTAATTGTAATTCTGACTTAAGTTCTAATATACTTTAAACCAATATTTTCAGATTCACAATTCAGTTTATATAATTCTTATAAATATTAGACAACATTACAGTATTTACAATAATCTATTCGAAAATCTATTTAATATTCCTCGATTATTTCGTTACGGTACGGGAAGTTCCAGCTATTTGCCTTAAGGCATAATGCCATATACACATCGGCCGATCCTTCATATCGGCCGATCTGTGTTCCCGAAATCGTCGACGAAATTATATATCTAGAATATATGTCCAGACACCTTTGAAATATAAAATATGCAAAGAACTTCATTTTCGATTTTTTATGATTACTATAACTCACCCTGTGGGATGTAAAAAGTAAGATTCTGTCTTATTACTATTTTATAAATAAATACTTTTTTAATAAATTTTAATATTTTCTATATTTTTGAATTCGACATCCCTTTATTATAATAAATTTAGTAAACGCAATAAATAATAGAACACATTACAAATTAATAAAGTGGTCTGCCCAATGTCATGGTCTGATTATGAGATAAACTTCAGCTTTGTTTCAGACAAATTTAGACTATTTTGTATTTCGATTACCTTTCACACATCAGCTTAGACATGACTATTGAAGTTTGGAAAGTGGTATATATTTACAAGATAAAAATATGAACTATTGAAATGAGGATTAAATTCGCGGCTTTGTAGTACCGCTGAATATATAATTTTTGTATGTTATACACCTTATTGCTTTGTTCGCATTATTTAATACTATTAAATTTATTTAGATCTCTTATATATTTGTTATTCATAATTTATAATGTCATCATATAAATAAAGCCATGGATTTATAATTAGATTCGCGGTTTACGGTGGATTGTTTTGACATTTTGATAATAGAAAATGCAAATACTAATATATCACGTTTACCTATTTTAAAACCACATGACCATACATTATTGTCGCAGTATAACATACAACTTTGATTGTGTTATTCGAGTAATTAGTTTTTTTTTAGTTTTACTCGATATGATATAATGAAATTTAAGAACCATGTAACATTTGAAAAACCAACTGATAAAATTACGGTTTATGATACTACGTTAAGTAAAGCTGTTTGTATTGCTATATTTCTATAATGAAAAAAGTAAGTTTTTGCAGATATGTACATACATATATGCAAAAATTACAATATACAAAAATATTTGCATATTGTAATTGGTTACTAATTTAGAGTAGTTGATTCACTCTTTTAAAATATAACTGTATTATGAGGGCGGATTATATTTTTTCTTCGAAATAATTTGGCAATATTAACTCATGTATTATAGACATAGGCATTTATGATACATATTATGTATATTCCGGGAGCCAAAATATTCAGGAATTTTGAAACGTAAAGATATACAAAAATTTTCATTTTCGATTTTTTTGCGATTACTATAACTTACCCTACAAAAAGTTAGTAAAAAAGAGATTTTTTTACATAAATGTTTAAAATGCGTGTTATCTATTTTTGCCATAATGTGTTCTTACATTAATGAACAAAATGAAGACTTTATGAAAAAAAATATTTATTTGTTTGCAAATTACCTAATTTAAAAAAAATCTATTTTTGTATATCATTACGTTTCAAAATCTCCTGAATATTTTGGCATAACTTGGAAAAAGAGAATGTATGTGTATCTAGTATTCAGTGTTTTGTATGGATACAATTTGCGTCTACGATTTAAAATGATTATTTAAAAAAACATTTAATTTTCATTCATGGCGAGATGTGCTGATTAATTTTCGGCAAAGACGGGTCTACCTGCTTCGGATAGATAAAGCAATAATGCAAAACATATCAGTTTTTAAGAGAACGGAGCATCCGATTCGAATGATTCCAACAACATTTTACTTTTATTGATGAATTAAGATTTTTTTTATGATTACATTTTTGTGAAGGCAGGTCTAGCGGTTTCGAAGTTGCAGAGAAAAATGAACAAAATTGACATTTTGTGGTCTGAAATAATAATTAAAAATCATAATTATTGATTCATATACATGTAGAAATATTGATACACGGATGGATGAGAGATAGGCAGGTAATCAGGTAGAAAGGTGAACAAGTTGATAGGTCGACAGGTTGATAAGTAGGCAAATAATAAGACATCCGGACAGGTAGAAAAGTAGACAAGTGGACAACTTAGATAGGTAGTTGCTTGTAGGTAAACTAGTAAACAGTTAGACTGGTAGATAATATACAATCAAATATTTGTTCATTAAACTGAGAGCGTGGGCTAGCACCAACTAGTCCCAGGTTCGCTGGTTCGATTCCCGCTACCGCCAAGCCTGACATCAGGCAACTTTGATGTCATATTTCCACTTGAGGTTATAGATTTCAAATAGAGCCTCAAGTGAAAATCGCCTCTCGTGGGTATAGTTGCATATATAATAAAATGTCAGCAAATTCTTCGAGTATAGATAATAAATTAGTCATAACTGGACTCCATTCCATCCATCCATTTAAGATTCATATAAAAACAAAAGTCAAAATCAATTACTGAATGCCCTAAGTGTGACAGGTTGTAATTAAAATAAAAACAATAAAAAAATTAAATTGATTATTTACGCATATCGGGAAGTTCAAGCAACTTGTCTTATGTTAGGGCCTAGAATTTTATTTATGATGCAGTTTATGATATTTCCCGAAATAGCAAAAAATAATTGTTAAAAGAAATTGTTTAATAAATATTGAAATATTATAAACACAAAATTTACAAGTTTTGAGAAAAATAAACTGTTGTCGTCGGAAATACTATTTTATGATAAATTTCAAGAGGAAGTGTTTTCATTAGTCGATTTTATTTTTATCTGTCAAATACCAGAAAATTTTCATATTTTTTTTTTTAAATGAATAGAAAGTAATCTTTGGCAATAATGTCCAGTGATTGTGGCGGTTGCGGCGTCGTTACCGTAATGTGTTTAGTCAAAAACCGAAATGTTGAAAAATGTTTGTAACTGATTTGTGAAGAGCGAATATTTCGCTTTGGTTCGTCCGACTCATCACACTCATCATTTTTTTCGACAGCACTCCTAAGAGCCGTCGCGAATAATGAATTGTAAATCAATCAAGGGCACTTTTTTACGATTCCGGCCGCTACTTTGTGAGAGTGAGCGCACTCGACGCAACGTTCTGCCGCTCTGAAATTTACACCTGGACGAGCGCGCTCGAAGATTTATTAAATATTAAATAAGCGTGTAATAGGTGCCTTCACGCCGCTCCGTGCCGCGAAAAGTTCGCGGATTCATTTCTGGTTAATACTAGCGCTTATGATGCAA